TGACACCACCATGGAATTACATTTTGACTAGGCTAGGAACTCTGCCTAATTCGTCGGATCTGGCTTCTGAATCATTCCATTCATGAAGCCAATCTTGCTCTTGGTGTTTGAGAGCATTAGTCATTGCTCTTTGCCAAGTCATACAGTTGTCTCCATTAAGAAGACAAGAAACAAGTACTATGCCAGGACTATTAGAAGGATGGAGGTAGAAAGGTGAATTCCGATCACCGAAAGAGGAGATCTGAGCGGCGACAGTGAACATGGCACTTCCACTTTTATTCACGGACATCCTTGTTTATGTCAAAAGAAAAGGGYAAAACAAGAAAAAGAATGAGACTAGAGTCAAGAAAGGCAAGACGAGAAGCAGAAGAGGACAAGAATCAAGAATTGGAATTTTCCGAGAGGGCCCATAGCTCTGATACCACGTAAAACTCAAAGACATGAAATTGACAAAGAGAAAAAGTTCCTTCATTAAAATAATCAAGTATATATAGGCATTTATTACAAGAACCCAAAAGAGGCTGGTGTGGCATTTACAAAGAAACAACCAAAAAAATAGATCCGTAACCGAATACGGAACCGATTAACGAGAGTGAAGTTCATCGTTGCTGAAGCTCATTGCAGGAGTAAAGTTCAACACAAGTTGTGGGAGTAAAGTTCATCGCAACTTGCGCCAACTGGTTATTCTCCTAATAATTACTTGTCAAGTCGTCTCTTCACTTTCTTGTGCTCTCCAACACAACGGCTTCACAATGTTCCAATCTAATCCATCAAAACAATGGTAACTTGTTTTTGAAAGCTGACAAAGCTTCGATCATTTATACTGTGTTTGGTTTGAAGGAAAAAATAGGGAAAGGAAAGGAATACTTTTGGCCCAGGCGAGTTGTACTTTCTTTCCTGCTCGGTGTGTCTGTTTTTTCTTCTTGGTATACTCAGTGGAACTAGCTGCATTGGACTTGGTTGGTGCATCTACTTGACTCTCTGTTGGGACTTGTTCATTTCGAACCACCGCTTCTTCTTTATCTAGGACCTAAATTTGGCTTCACATTTACTGAGGGGATTGGTTTTCACGATTGGAGTTATGATAAGGATGTTGTTGGCTATTGTGAGGTTGACTTCCTCGCGGTATTTGCTGATTGTCCAAGTGAGCCAGTTGTTGGTGCTGTTGTTGTTGCTGTTGCATTTGTGATCACTGTTGTTGCTGGATTGGTTGCTGTTGCTGTCCTGTAATGAATACAAATCTGTTCTCCCACAATCGCATTTGTTTTGTCATGTTGTGGACGTATCGTACTAAATCATTAAACTACTCCATGTCAATTACCGCGGGAGGTGCCATAGGAGGTGGGGGTGGCATGTTCATATTGTCTTCAACATCAGCAGGTGTTTAAGGAACGTCAATTTGGCTTATTGTGATCATTGGCATTTAGCCGTTGACATTGTTGGTAAAAGGGTTGCTGGGAGATGCCATTGAGAGGTTTCTTTGAGTAAAATGAGAGATAAAGAGATGAATGAAAGGAAACACAAGCTTTTAGCTGCGTTTCCCACAGACCGCACCAATTGATGAGACACAAATCCACTCACTCCCACGTGTCTCAGCGATGCGGCTCGAATTGGGTTCCAACCTGGCGATGCCGAGCTGTATTGCCGAACTGTTAATATGTACGTTCAAGTTGAGAGATGCTGTGAAGGAACAAGGGTCATAGTGCCTGGGTAGGTTTTACCCAAGAGAACACTCCGATGCATAAATCAATAAGGAGATTTAGTGAGAATCATTGAGAGAGTTCAAGAGCTTCAGTGTGCATACCTTTTAGAGCATCCTTGGGTTCCTTTTATAGTTATTGGGCATTCAGGTGTCATTGATCAACGCCTTTGAGCTTTCTGTGGAGCTATTTCTGCATTTTGAGGGAATGGTGGTCCGTTAGTTGCTAAATTCACGCGGCGGTTACAAGTCGCCCACGGGTCTTGTGGCGCATGGTTCAACGAGTTGTTCCTGTAGTCTCGGTAATGGTACTAGATCGGATATGGCACGCAAGACGATTTCAGGCAAGCTGTTTGTTGTCGATGGGCAGAGCTCGCCTCAGCTCGGCCACGCACCTATTATAAACTACCACATGTTGAGCTGGCAAGTTGTCCTATCGAGTTGGACGTTGTGTTACTGACAACGTCGACATGTCCACCATCAAGTGGGTTAATTAAAATGCCCCTCATTAGAAGAAGTATTGATTTTGATATTCGTAGATTAGACGAATGATTAAGAGTACAATGTCGGTCCCTCTAATGTTATGGATATGGAGAGAATAATTTAGTTTTTTTTTTAAATTAGGAAATACTTTTAATATGGAAGAGAAAATGTGGAAGTCGATACCATTTAAGAGTACAATGTCGGCCCCTCTAATATTATGGAAAAAATAATTTAGTTTTTTTTTAAGAGTAAATTTCTTAAACTACCCTTATGGCTTAGCTAATTGATTAAGTGTACCCTTATTATTTGAAAATTGACTAACACTACCCTTATTCTTTGACAATTGACTAATCCTTCTTTATCATTAATGTACGTCAAGAAAGGAAAAAAAAAAGACTAATCCTTCTTTATCATTATTCATATCTCTCCCTCGTGGAAATGTGGGAACGGCGAATGATGACCGGATTGAGTATCTCTCCTTCCCCCTCTCATTCTCTTAGCCGGAACTGCTTGAACGGCGGATGATGATCGGATCTATCTTCATTTTGGTTAGGTTGCAAAACCTTGTAAAACGGGATGAACAAAGCTTCACAAGTACCTTGCGGGATGAACCAAGCTTCGCAGAAAAACAAAGACAGAATTCAGAGTGTCGACCTCTACAGTTGCTGCAGTTCCGGAGAAGAGAACAAGAGGGGCGCCGACCTCTACATCCGACCTCTGCAGTTGCAGCGGTTCTGGAGAAGAGAACGAGAGGGGTGTCGAATGCCTGAAAGACTATGGCTCCTATTCCGACCTCTACAGTTGTAACGGTTCTGGGGAAGAGAACGAGAAGGGCACCGAAAGCAACGATGATGAATGGCTGAAAGAACATGGCTCCTGTTCCGACCTCTGCAGTTGCTTCCGGCCCACCACCTTGTCTTGGATTCAAAAATCATGGCTCCAGTTCTCCCTCTGCATCGGCGACAAATGCCTAAAAGACGAGGAACCCTTTTTCCAGGAAGMAGCTCCTTCGTAGCCACTACCACTTTTCCAGGAATCCTTTTTCCTCCTCAGAAATATGGGGTGATTTTTATAGTTTTTCCTATAAACTAATAATAAACCCTTTGATCGATCGATCGAGAGTGTGAGAGAGATGAGGGGGAGTCATCGATAATACTGAAGAGTGAAGGTGCACATTGTTAATATTTTGGCCCTTCTGGCTTCTGCACAAAAGAAAAGCATTTCGGCGTTTATTCTCCAATTATGGGATCTCTATCAACAAAAGAGTGATAGCTTTCTTGTCTTTCTGCGTATTGTCTCTCTCATCGACTACTCTATCTTATAAGCCAAAGGATATCGTTCCCATGAACAAGATGGGCCACCAGGAAGCAACTCCTTCGTAACCACTACCACTTTTCCTCCTCGAAGCGGCTAATCTAGATCTATCGGGCGATACAGAGTGGGAGCGCTGATGCCCATGGTCCATTTTGGAGTCGGTGCCACCAGTGGTGCTAAGCATCAGCTTTGACATCTCATGCTTAAGGTGGGCATGCCTAGCTTCGAGCTCTTTGATCTTCTTGAGTAGCTCTTTTGCTGGAGGGGATGTCCATAAGAAACTGCAGTTCCGGCGGTTTCAGAGAAGAGAACGAGAGGGAAAAGGAAGAAGGGAAAGGTTGTAACTACAATTCCCCTGTAGCATTCGACCTCTGCAGTTCGGGCAGTTCTTGAGAAGAGAATGAGCGGAAGGAAGAGATGAGAGATCTACAGTGAAAGAGGTCGGAAGTGGAGGGTAAAATTGGATTTTTAAAAAAATTATATGTCATGTGCCTACGAGTTCTGATAGAATTAATCAATCGTCAGAAACACTAGGGTTAGTGTTAGTAAATTTTCAAACAGTAAATGTGCACTTCGTCAATTATCTAAAAGATAAGAATAGTTTAAAAAGTTTAATGCAATTATGCCAGAAAGTATAGGGGAGGATAGTGGTATTAACAAAAAGCAGGGTACTGATGCAATTATGCCAGAAAGTATAGGGGAGGATAGTGGTATTAATAAAAAGCAGGGTACTGTTTCCCTATCTTTTCCTTTATTTCCTTTTCTTTCAAACCAAGCACAGAGTAAATGTAAATGTAAGAATCAAATGAACAATTATAATGTATGAAACTGATTTATATAAGAAATGATTCAAGGGCTCATAAGCGAACAATTAATGTTTTTTTTGCCATCACCATAAGTTAAGAATGGATATAACATTAATTGAATGGAATGGAATCACAAAACATGATTCATGTAGCTTAGATGATGATGATGATGATGATGAAATGTAGTTCATGAAATCACATAATTTGTGATGAAATGTAGTCCACTGGCTAGCACTGTGGTTCTGAGGAGAGCAGCTAATCTGGTCCCGTGGCAGAGATTGGCTTTTGATCAGTTACAACTTCCTGTTCAAATATGGAATTGCCAATGCAAATTTAGGGCCTCAAATTGGTTTTCCATTTATTTCATCCCAATCCACTTTACCTAATTGATCCATAATGACTCAGATTACCCTTTAACCTAAGAGCACCTACCTTTTCTTCGAGGCTAAATGTGCCATCTCAGTTAACATTCATTCAAAATTGAAACTTCCAAAACGTATTCTCAAGGCACAAATCCATAGTGGGCGTAAAGCAAATTCCAAAGACGGAAAGCAAGATAGCACTGTGGGGACTTGAGAGTAATTGTGAACTCTGCGTTTCCCTTCTCTAGCTCTATATATTGACCTGATCCAGCAAAGGAAGGAAGAAGCAGTGAGGACTGAGAGGAGGAAGAAACAAGACTAGAGGGAAAGAGAGAGATGGCAGCTTCTAGTATTCGTTATTTGGCTTTGGCAGCCTTGTTTTTGGCTGGAGTACTTCTGGTCTCCAACCATCAGGTCTCAGCACAGGATTGCCTAAGTGATGTGCACAACCTAGAGATACAATGTAAGCAATTCGTTCTGAAGGCTGGCCCAAAGCTTCCCCCATCTCAAGGGTGTTGTGCTGTTGTGAAGAAGGCTGACATTCCATGTGCCTGCAAGTATATTACTAAGGAAGTAGAGCAGTCCATTAGTGTGGACAAGGTGGTCTATGTTGCTCAGTCCTGTGGCAAGGAATTGCCCCATGGAATGAAATGTGGATGTAAGACTTCATCTCTTTAATTACCTCTTGTCAACAGTGTCTATTCTGGGATTTCAGTAGTTCTTTTTTCTTTTTCATTCTTCTCTTTGTACTACTAACCTGTTGTCAATGATATATCCTGAATTTCATCAGTTCTTTTTTTTTTTTTTTTTTCATTCTTTTCTTTTTAACTACTAATCTTTGTTTTGTTTTCTTTCTCTCATTCATTCATTTTTTTTTGTCTGTGTCTGTTTGTTTATTCAGGTGTCACAATTC